ATGATGTTGGAGGTAGAATTATCGCACAGAGCTCTCAGCTGTCGGGCTACCAAGATGTCGGGCCAGGTCGGCACAAGACGCAGCACCGAAGAAGACACCTAGTAACCCACACCGGGCGCAACGAAGCTCCGCCACAAGTGGGGCCCACAATGGTCGGCAAGGTCTATCCCTCCCAGCCACCTCACTGCAGGGCCCGGCATCAAGATGCACACACGATGCACACTCGTGCTCAAAGAGCACCAGTTCTGCATTGAGGTGAGCTCGGAAGCTGCAGAGATGGCAACGCCCGGGCGAATGCAGAGGCTGCAAGCCTTTGTGGAAGCAGCACTCTGAAGGCAACAGCCTGGCGCATGCACCGTGCAAGTGCTGCCGTCTCAAAGCTCAAGTGCGCGTTCTCAAGTGCGGGACGAAGAGGTCAGCGATGCAGCTTTGCAAGCATCCGACCACACAAGCCGCCATCCAACGGTAGAAGGCCCACTGATGCCGTTCCTGGCGGTGCACAGCGACCGTGTTATTGCAGAGCCTAGCACCACGTGTGTGAAACTGCAGACAAGCAGGCATATTGAGAGGAAGGAAGCAGCACCTCTCCATCCGGTGAGCCCAATAAGAGCGCCTCCTCAAGCAGCCTTCCGAGCGTGCGGCACCGGCTCCTCGTCTGGCTCCTAACGCTAGCGCTGGCGAAAAGGGGTTTTCGGAGCTCTCGGACATCTCAGAGCTGCCGGGCGCAGCGGCCAAAGCCAGGCCGGGGGAGCAACTCCAATGAAACACCGCAGGTTTGAGCGAACAGAGTTGTATGTGGACTTCAGCGGACGCAGCCTCCCCGAGTGCAGATTGATGCCTGGTGGCTTACCTACGTCCGTACACGTGTCGAACCGAAACTTCTCTTGCAAGCCCCGCTAGTGCACGACGGAGTAGAGAAACGCGGAAGTTTGCACTCGCAGCCACAAGGGCCTGAATCTCCAGCAAGCAGGAAGGCCCAAGAGGCCCAAGCTGCCGCGGGCAGTCAGCGACAGCAATCCAAGAACCGAGCACCCCAACGGCCCATGAAGCCTTGATCTCAGGATGTGCAAAGTTTGGGGCGTCTGCTTGCCCCGAGAAACCTTCACGCGCATCGTGAGCACTGGCCGAGCACAGCGCCCAACAGCGCTTGGCGCTTCAACTTGCCGCGCTCGACGTGAGCTTCGAGACGGCTGGGTACTGAGCCAGAGCCCCGACTCAAAGACAGCAGAACAACACACGACAGCATCTGAAGTGTCACTTCTTGGAATCGCAATATTTCGTGTAGGCTAGAAGCGTTGTCGTGGAGTCTACGTGTCATGCTCTAGATCACATAGGTATTTTGACAAAGAAGCACTGGGACTTGGCTATACTCGGCAACACACCTCACCACAACCTCAAACGGACCTCCCCCACAGGGGCACGCAAAAACTTCAGGATATAAGGTTTCGGACGGGCTTCTCCTTCGAGCTGTGCATGACACACAAAGAGATCAGTGAGAAACCTACATAACTTGCTGATCTTGATGTCCTTGACTCACATATTGAACCGTGAATCCCTAAACTCCTATAGAAAAGCCATGCTCATTCGCCTCGGACTGCGAAATACCAGCACAGGGTGGCCTGCCGAAAAAACCTTTGCAGAACATTTGAAAAACAGCAACTTGCCGGAACTTCACTTTCCGGCAAGGGAACGGCCCTAGCAACTGCTCGGGTGGCACAGTGATCGTGTTGTTGTAGAGCCTAGCACCACGTGTGCCAAGCCGCAGACAAGCAGGCACATTGAGAGGAAGCAAGCAGCACCATTCCATCCGGTGAGCCCAGCGAGGGCGTCTCCTCAAGCAGCCTTCCAAGCGGCACAGGCTCCTCGTCTGGCTCCTAATGCTGGCGTGCGAAAAAGCGCTTTGGGAGCTCTCGGACATCTCAGAGCTGCAAGGCACTGTGGCCAAAGCCAGGCCTGGGAAGCAATTCCAGGGAAACATCGCTGGTTGGGCGAACAGAGCCGCAGCCTCCCCGAGCGCAGATTGATGCCTGCTGGCTTACGTACGACTGTGCGCAGGAGACCGTAGCGATGTGTCGAAACCGAGCTCGGAAGACACGTTGGTGCAAGGGCTTGTATCTCCAGCCAGTCAGAAGGCGCAAGCAAGGTGCCAGCCCTGCTTCAGAGGGCGCCGCCAAAACAAGCAAAACAATAACCGAAATCCGAAGATGCCCACGCATGTGAACAGGCGCGAGCCAGTGGACACAAGGGCTCGCAGAGGGAGGCAGAGGGGAGTGTCGGGAGGGGACCACACAAGGCGGCGCATGGGAGTCTAGCAAAGCTTCGTCATCATGGCTGGAGCCCTGCTCCCATGCTCCTTGAGCTACCTTACACCACACGACGAAAGGCCCGACTTCCTCCCAGAACCACGCCAAGGCGCCCGCGCCACGACCGAGTGAACCACCACCAGCCCCACAGTGCTGCTGGCAAAGCCACACCACACTCCAAAGCGAAGCAGGGCAGCGAATCGTAGAGAGCCCCAGGATAGTCAGAATAGTCGGAGCTGGTGGCAAGGAGACGCACGCGCAGTGCACGGTGGGGCCGGTGGGGGTCGGGGCCTCTCGTAGAGGCCTCAAAGCTGCTAAAAAGATGCAAGGCTATGGTCCACAGAAGAGCACTGCACCTTAGAAACAGGAACCCCACACACCCCGAATGAAGGGACCCTTACATCAGTTAGAGGCCTAAACCCTAAGCCCCAAGCCCTGAAACAACCCTATCTCGGACTTGGACTCGGCACAGATCTTCTCCGAAGCAGCTTAGAGCCTGTTGGGTAGACAGCTGGCGGCACAAAGGCGCGCGGCACACGGCCCTAACAGCGGCATTGCAGCTCGGGTTTGGGGGTTTAGGCGGTTTAGGGCTTCTCCGTGCCGTGGTCACCAGCGCGGTGTCTAAGCGCACGAGGGTCTGATGTTTGTCAGAACTAGAGCCTTACCTGCTCCGCACCAAGCTTCCGGGAAGCGGGAAGCTACTAAACCTCAAAAGTCATACATTTCACGCATCGCAAGTGGGCTGAATACCCTGAGCCAACCGCCTGCCAAATCCCACCTTCACCACCTCGCAACGCGAGAGTGGTGCCCAAGAACTTTCTGATGTGCTACCAGGCTTTGAGCCAATGTTTGGCGGGTTCGCCTTGCCACAGAGGCAAGCATCAACATCTTTAAGTACAACAAGGAGTCCCGATCCACGGAAGCTTGGCCGGCCTGGGGCAGAGAGCTAAGCCCCCACGCTTCAACTCCCTCCCCCCTGAGCCGCTACTGCGTGCTACTGCAACATACTAGTATAGATCCATCTGCCTTCCGTCGGGCGCCGAACCGCGTCTTTGTGTGATGCCGCCCCCGGCTCAATCCGGAAAAGTAGCATTCGTTGGCCGCTGCCGCTGCAACCTCATGCCTTCCGCGCTGGGCCGGCGGAATCCAACGGAGCAACATCTTTCCACAATCCGTTGTACAAACAAGGAAGCACTTAGCCACGACGTTGACGAGGGTACCTGGCAAGACATTTAGGGTTTAGGGTTTAGGGATCAGGGTTTAGGGCTTAGGGTAAAAAACGATGCCCACAACTAGCTGAACTTGCTTAGGGGGCTATTGCACACGAACAAAGTAGACATCCAACACCGAAGTCAAAACAAGTCCGTGCAGCATGCATCGCCGCAGCGGGCGTGGATGCACCTAGGAACTCAGTCAGAAGGCGATTCCACATGTTGGCGCACACGTGGATTTGGGTTTAGGGTTTAGGGTTTAGGGTTTAGGGTTTAGGGTTTAGGGTTTGGATTTGGGTTTAGGGTTTAGGGTTTAGGGTTTAGGGTTTAGGGTTTAGGGTTTAGGGTTTAGGGTTTAGGGTTTAGGGTTTAGGGTTTAGGGTTTAGGGTTTAGGGTTTAGGGTTTAGGGTTTAGGGTTTAGGGTTTAGGGTTTAGGGCACACGTCAACAACTTCCCAAAGAAAGAAGGCATCCGGCTTGAAGTCCGGATCTGAACTCTGGGACCTGGTTTGCCTCCCGAATTTAGGTCTCCACCCCCACCCCAAACCCCAACCCCCACCATTTCGCCTACACCCTAAACCCTAAACTCCAAACCCTAAACCCTAAACCAAGGTCCACACGTCTGTCGCACAAGGCCCGCCCCATCTGTGGAGCTGGAGAATCCTACCCTTTCTTGAAAGGCTACGTCTGACCTGCCGACGCTGCATGAGCCGACCATGTGGAATCTAGGGTTTAGGGTTTAGGGTTTAGGGTTTAGGGTTTAGGGTTTAGGGCTTAGGGTTTAGGGCCCTGGAACTCATGCCAAATTGCTCCCTTCACCACCCTTGAACCTTGGAGTTGGAGCGGCGCCATGAAGATTTGTTCGGATACAAAGGTCAGTCGTGCTGATGAGGTAGGCGCTTGAAGGCTATTGACATCAAGCTGACCCTAGACCACGCTCGACAATAACTTTCAGCTAGCAACTAGTTCGAACATGAAAATAGTCGGCACGCTGGCATCAACAAATGAAAAAGCATGCATGAGAAACAGCTGCGCCAAAAAAACAACATGATTCTTGTGACAACTAGCCAGTGGCAATGAGTTCGCAACGCTGTAGGGGTGGTCACAGCACCAAGCTCAAGACCGACCCCCAAACAGAGAGACAAGAGACACCGTGAGACTGACACACAAGGAGAGACAGCAAAAAACAGACCAGGTAAAAGATACCTCAAGCAGACGAGAGAGAGAGAGAGACCAGAAGAAATGAGGATTTTCGTAGTGATATCTTCATGGTATCGTTTCTGATTAAGTGAGCTTGTGAAGGGGCGGGCGTTTTGGTCCTCTGAATGAACAGGTAGAAAGCGAGCAGAGAAAACCTCAGAATCAAGTATGTTGATGCATGTTGGCTCCGTTTTGCTGCCTTCCGGAACAGTCTTGACTGTTGGCACCAGACACCACCCTTGTCGTTGGAAATTGCCGCCCCAAGACCTAAAGCCATTCCGATTTGTCAGCCGTCGTCTGATTCAGACCATTCTTGAGAGGAGCCGTCAGAATCACTGACGGCTCTGTGCCACCTGGGCAAGCATCCCCTTGAACTGAGCCGATGGCCGCCACCAGTGCTGTCAAACGAAAGAGCGCAACGCCGCAGAATTGTTCCAACTTGTCGCGAGCGCTCCCGGCCATCAATCCACTCTGCAAACAAACCCTCCTCAGTGCTGAAGACAAGCTCCTGCAATCGCAGGTTGAAGGCATCCACGTCGTAGATCTTGGAGATGATCATGTCCTTGTCCTCTTGTGCTGAGGCCATGCACTGCCGGACATCCAACAGTGACAGCTTGTCATAGTTGAGGTCGACAGATTGCTGAGAAGAAACCTGCACCTTGGATTTCATGCGCAGCACACTCGCCTGAAATAGCTCTGCCACGCACCATGCTCGATAGAAGACATCGAAATCATCATCCACCACAACAAGCTGCCAAAAGCCGGCTACTTCACCTGCCAAATACGCCATCATGTCGTCGAACTTGTTCAGTTCACACCTTCCGTTGGAGTTGCTGAAGACCTTTTCCACTTTGCAGCTGCACAGCGGGAAAACCTTGCCGGTGACGGAATCCAGCCTCTTCATGTTCCAGGATTTCCACTCGTCCGTCTTTCGAGGTGGTTCCGGTCCGAAGCCAGCACAGATGCTTGCATGCTGATTGACGGAAAATGCGCATACCCAGTACGTTCTCTCCAACTTCCCAGAAAGCTGGCTACGGACTTGCTCAATGCCTTCCTCCGTGGTAATTTCAGCTGCTACCTCACCGTAGACCTGCGCCTCCAGAGCATCTGCTAGTATTGCTGCCACCAGGTTTCGAAAGCTATTCGTCCAATTGTGCGACACCATGACTTGTGGCCGTATCCCTGCACCAGCCGACCAAAGGGATGCCAAAGCAAACCCTTCATCCCCACGGCGGGATTCTGGAATGATGGCCCCACGCACCACGTCGTTTGTCAATGAGCGCGTGGGATCAAAGTCTGGCATCAACCTGTCTTCCTCCAGCAGCTGCTCCCAAAAGCTCAGAAGAGAACCTAGGCGAAAGCCTCTGCTGGCCAGCTGCTTCACCACATCGTGATAAACCTCCTGCTCGCTTGCGCTCAGCAACTGCGACATGGAGGTCAGCCCGCGCGTGCACGCGCCGGTCAGAATCGGCTCTTCGTCATCCCGGGGAGGGGAGTCTTGCCAGAGAATCCCAGAGAGGAAGGCCAGACCAAGGGAGTTCACAACCCAGGCACACCGGCGGGCGATCGCCGGAAAGCGCAAGAACACCCACGCGAACTTCGTGCCCTCTCTTCCGCCGGGAGCTACTGCCAACTGCAGGGAATGCAGTATGGCCACCGGGAGCCAGGTGCAAGATGTCGTCACTCCCAGCAGTCCGCAGGTCAGCAGCTCTAGGCCTAGAATCCTGGCCGCCCACTTGGCCTGCTTCCGTGCCGGGCCTCGCACCCTCCTTACTTCCTGCAGCGCCATTGAACCTGGGGTAGGGTTTGGCCCTAGAAAAATGGGAGTTTTATGGCTTTGTAAGGACTACATAGGGGATTGAGGGAAATAAAAAACACAAAAAACTATGTTCAAACCTACCTCTGGAACGTTTGCCTGCCAGACTCGCGCAGACCAGAATCGTGAATGAAGTCCATATGACACCGAAGGTGATGTTCGTGGAAAGGGTAAGACCGAGCGGCAGCATCCCTTTACCCACCAGTGCGTTGCTGGAGGTGGTAACGACAAGACCACCACCCATCAGCAACACGAAGAAGCTCGAAAGACCAGTGTGCGAAGATCGTGACCTGATTCCCGTCATTCGGATCTGGAAGACGTAGCCGATCCAAGTGAGGACGACGCTCTCGGTGGCATTGCCGAATGTGATCCAAAAGATATGGACGTTCTTGAAACCGAGTGCGAGGCATATGTGGGCTACCTGGAATGCCAAGGTTGTCACCCAATACCCAAACATGCACCACTTGGCATCGTGTGCATGGGTGGAACGCGGGTGCGTCTTAAGCATGCAAGATACCCAGATCGAGGAGATCGCGAGCAAAGTAAACATCTGCTCCCAGCGCAAGTCGACAACTCCCTGGCGCTTGAAGTGACCGAGCTTTGGCATGAGAAGCCATGGGCAGGCAGCAGCAAATGCCGTAACCAGAACCACAAAGCCGCAAAGTAGCGCTTTGCACCTCCAGGGGCAAGAGAATTCTTTGCCGGCCGAATCTTCGGGAGCATGGACCAGGGCTAGGATGAAGCCAGCCAACAATCCCAGAGCCCAGAACACGAGGAATGTATCCTTGGTAGCTCAGTAACCATACTACAATCAGGGTGCGGTTTTTTTGGGACCTCACAAGGGAACCATGAACCCAAAACAGGGCAAAAGGGTACCACTGGGCTACCAAGCATCGGGACCTTTATCCAACTGTGAGATGCACACACATGCGAGGCACAGCAGAAGAAGTCCGAAAAGCAGTCGGCACATCCGCCCATGTGTCCCAAGCATGGCAACCTAAAGCAAAAGTCTGGATTTTGAAGAATTCTCCACATCAAGTCTACAAAGATTTAGACCCCTCCTACAAAGCCCTCCCAGAATTGTGGAGCAAAAGACGTACCTTTGACATGTCCAGATTATTACGGTGTTAAAAGTCACTATGATTTCACTGTATCCTAGGCCAGCAGCTTCCAAGAACGCGGGCCACCCTGCACAACTCCACTAGAAGTGCTCCAACTCACAACTCCAAGGTGTCCCCCACATGTGACCCCCCCATTGCTGTTATCAGCACCTGCTGAGTCAGCTCTTCCAATCTTTGCCTAACAAGGGACTTGACCACCCAATGCCGGCTTAAGAGGACAAGTCTTCTTGGGATGCTGAGGGCTTTGGGCTTAGGGTTTAGGGTTTCAGATGTAGGGTTCAGGGTTGAGGATTGAAGATGTAGGGTTTAGGGTTTAAGGGTTGAGGGTTAAGGGTTTAGGGTTTAGGGTTGAGGGTTTAGGGTTTAGGGTGTAGGGTGTAGGGTGTAGGGTGTAGGGTGTAGGGTGCAGGGTGTAGGGTGTAGGGTGTAGGGGACCATGCCCAGGTTTATCCAAGCAAGGGTCTTTGCTATGCTGGGTCCGTCCCGACCATTCAAGGCCAAGACCACGGCACCCACACCCAAAGTTCAGGGTTTAGTGTTCAGGGTTTAGGGTTAGGGTTTCGGATTTAGGGTTTAGGGTTTAACAAATGGTGGCTTCTTTTTTTCATGGCATGCTGAGCATGTTTCCTCAGCTTTCGCCTGAACGGGCATCTCACCGCCGGGGTTATCCAGACTTCTCCTTTTTACAGACCTAGAAACTGAATGAAGTCTACGTCTACGAGGAAATGGCGGAATGGCAGGACTTCGCCGGCCTCAGGGGCACTCTTCTCGTGCCACCTGTCTACACCCACCGTCACTTTGCCGCAGAGCTACTGCGTGGCTTCGCCTGCATGGCGATGTCTCGTAGGTTCCGCTGGCACTGCACCGGGCTCATGCACCTTCTACATGTACAACTTCGCCTCAGACTGGGTTTTTGAGAAGCCATACCTCGCAAGTCCGGGGCTCGTGGTTCCGGTTCAGTGGTTCTATGTGGTTCTAGTCGTGCCTGGTCTACATTGTCAGCGACAGGTAGATCAAGAGTGACATTGAGTAGAGTAACCGGAATCATGTGGTGCAGAGTGCTTGAAGATGCTTCGGGCCTACTCCATCTCTCCGTTTCTATTTTATATTGTATCGTAAGCTGTATCTATAGTAGAGTATACTATGCTGTATAGTATACCATATAGTCCAAAATACCATATAGTGTGGTATATTATATATAGTATATAATCTATAGTATATAGTGTATAGTATATAGTATATAGTATAAAGTCTTGGCCAAGCCTCGTCGCCGATCCCGGTGTTCATTGGCAGATGTGGACGGTGAAGCAGTCGTCTGGACTCGTCATTTAGACCTGCTCGACGTTAGGGTTTAGGGTTTAGGGTTTAGGGTTTAGGGTTTGGGGTTTAGGGTTTGGGGTTTAGGGTTTAGGGTTTAGGGTTTAGGGTTTAGGGTTTAGGGTTCTGCTCATTGGTGCCCCTGCCTCCTTTCTGCAAGGCCATGAGTCCCTAAAGATGCTTGATGCCTTGGCCTGACCTGAGGAGGTTTATATACATGATACACAATTACAAATATACTAATTATCTATCATTGCGTAAATATTTGGTTCGTTCTTAGTCCAGAGTCTGCATAAACCTTCCTGCAAAGTAGACTGTACAGCATACTCGACCATATAGTATAGTATACCTTGTAGAAAATGTCTTGGCCAAGCCTCGTCGCCGATCCCGCCGTTCATTGGCAGATTTGGACGGTCAAGCAGGCGTCTGGGCTCGTCCTGTGGACAGGCTCGGACTTTCGGTGCCCTGCTCACTGCACTACATCCCTGCCTTGACTTTCCCATGCCCCTGCCTCCTTTTTATGCAAGGCCATGCATCCCAAAAAAATTCCGTGACAGCCTCTCTTGCGCCTGTCTTTAACCTGCGGGGTGTATATACACCATACATTGATGAGAATTACTCATCTTATTATTATTATTTACAAATACATACATATATCTAAACAAAGCTGGTTCGTTCTTGGTCTAGTTGCTGCATAAAGCCTCCTGTAAAGCCTCGACAAGCTGGACCTGACTTGCGAACCGTGCAGCACAGAAACTATTCCACTTTGTTGCATGATATTATATGTACACACTGCATAATGTATATGCATGTATTGTACCTTATATTTATATATAGATACATGTATACATACATACATACATACGTACGTACGTACGTACATACGTACATACGTACATACGTACATACGTACATATGTACATACGTACATACGTACATACGTACATACGTACATACGTACATACGTATGTATACGTACATGCGCACATACGTACGTACATACGTACATACATACATATATAGATCTTAATTCTACAATGATGTATGTATACAAGCATGACTTTTTCTTATACAGTGTTGTCTTATGTCCATATACAATGTATACATCTTATACCATTCTTCTTATGTCTTCATGTGCCGAAGTCTACGCTGCATTTCCCAAGTACGCTGCTATGGCACATGCGCCCCGGTGTGCGAAGTGATGCGGAGTGGTGAATGCTGCCGAAGAAAAGCTAGCCCAGCAATCTTGATGCAGTTGCTGCACATAGAACTCAGTATCACGAACGCGGCTCTGATTTGCACAGGCTTCTCCCTTCCTGCAAAAACCAGCATGAATCCAAGCAAACACGCGCGTGCGCGTGGGCACGTAAACTGCTGGGTTGCATCTCTTTGGCCGATCCGTTCACTCCTAACCAACTCTTGCTGCCCAGGGAAAACTGCGCAAAAACAAATCGGGCGGTATGAGGCGCGCAAGAATTTTGTCCCCCCAAACCCTAAACCTTAAACCCTAAACCCTAAACCCTAAACCCTAAACCCTATACCCTAAACCCTAAACCCTAAACCCTAAACCCCAAGCCCAGCCTGTCAGATCTGCTTCCGTGGAGTGAGCTTGGGGCCAGCAGGGTGCGTCCTGTCACAGATAGCAAGACTCTTAGCCTCGGTAGACTCATACGGAAGTTTTGTGGTGTACTATAAGGGTTTCGGGTTTCGGGTTTAGGGTTTAGGGTTTAGGGTTTAGGGTTTAGGGTTTCGGGTTTAGGATTTAGGGCTTAGGGTTTCGGGTTTAGGATTTAGGGCTTAGGGTTTTGGGTTTTGGGTTTTGGGTTTAGGGTTTCGGGTTTAGGGTTTAGGGTTCAGGGTTCAGGGAGATTCAGGAGACGCAAGCAGAAGGCGATCAGGACATCTCTTCAGCCGCTGCCGGTGTGAAGGGCTCATTCTTTGAGGGATTTGGGCCTTTAACCGGTCAGATTTTCGGCGGTGTTGGACTGCCAAACTTTTCCGGCTGTAGGGTGAGCGCGACTTGTTCAGGATCGTCTTCTGGAAGTCCCAGAACGAGAACGTTGTGTCGTTTGCCTTTGGTCACTTTCAGGAGGGGTTGGGGCCAGATTAAAGGAGTCTTGTGTTCTGGAAAACTTTGGATCCCCCCTTGCTCTCACAGTTCCATACAGGGGGGTTTTCAGCCCCCAATTCCTCCAAAAAGCCTGTATCCTCCTTCCCGTCCATATCCCCTCAGAACATCGTACCCTGCACTGTAATCTTCCATAGTGCCGTGGGGCAGAGCAGAGCAGAGTAATATTGAACCTCTCTTTTGGAGACCCTAAACCCTAAACCCTAAACCCTAAACCCTAAACCCTAAACCCTAACCTCTTTCGGAGCGTTCGCGGGAGTAGCGGGGCCTGCCTCGGGGATTGAGATCCCATTCGTCTCACATCATCTCGCAAAAGTGGTCTTGAGGAATCTCTTTCTGAGGTCGGCTCCTTCCGTGGGAGGGGTAGGTAGGGTTTAGGGTTTAGGGTTTAGGATTCAGGGTTTAGGGTTTAGGGTTTGGGTTTAGGATTCAGGGTTTAGGGTTTAGGGCCTAGGGTTTAGGGTTTAGGGTTCGTAAACACAAGCCGAACTAGGTCTTTCTTTAGCTACAGCGAATCAAACCCCCAACTTGACTATCACACCGCGTGTTATCTGGGCTTAAGACGACACATGCCGCGATATGAGTATGCGGTATTCTGAACAAGACGACCACTACCTGGGGGCCATCAGCATCTATCTGCTCTGCACTTTCAGAACTGTAGCTTGGGTTTCGGGCTTAGGGTTTAGGGGTTCAGGGTTCAGGGTTCTGGGTTCAGGGTTTAGGGTTTAGGGTTCAGGGTTTAGGGTTTAGGGTTCAGGGTTTAGGGTTTAGGGTTAGGGTTTAGGGTTTAGGGTTCAGTGAGCACCGTGGAAGTTCTGATGGCGGGGTGCTTGACATGGTAATGCTTCCTGTGCCAACTTCTTTGCAAGAGCACTCAATGGTCAGAGCTCAGACAAGAGTTCTGGGGGGGGGGGGGGGGGGTTAGGGCTTAGGGTTTAGGGCTTAGGGCTCAGGGCTTCGGGTTTAGGGCGTAGGCTTGACAGTTTGGGGCTTAGGGGCATCGCAAGACTACAAGAGCATGAGGCAAAAGGCATTTGCTCTGCGTCCCCACACTCCTTCTGCGTTGCCGGCATTCTCATCTGTGGCTCTGCTTGCTGGGACGCCTGCGCGTAGCTCATTGCTGGAGCGCCACAGAGGGCCATGGGGTCACAGGTTGGAGAATGTCAGAAATGCGGGGATTGACAAAAATAGGGAACCCCCAATAAAGATCCCCAAATAGTAGGATCCCCTTCTACTTATGACCCCAGTAAGGTCCCCGGGCCACAACAAAGTCCCCCGAAAAGTTTGTGTCTCATCCTGCAGGCAAGGCTTGTCCACGGTCAACTCCTTGCCCCTTTCAAGCCCTAAACCCTAAACCCTAAACCCTAAACCCTAAACCCTAAACCCTAAACCCTAAACCCCCAAAAGTCCCAAAAGTCCCGAAGGCCTTGGCTTGAGCTTGCTGCAGTGTCTGCAGCTGCTTCAGGGCCTGAAACATCTTTGCAGATGAGTCCTTAGGGTTTAGGGTTTAGGGTTTAGGGTTTAGGGTTTAGGGCTTGGGGTTTAGGGTTTAGGGTTTTAGGGTTTAGGGTTTTAGGGTTTAGGGTTTAGGGTTTAGGATTGAAAAATGTCAGGTAGACAGGCAAAGGCGGCGTTTTATGGGGGCTTGACGGAAAATGCACTGCCCTTGCGACTGCGCACCTGCCTCATGAAACTTGGCTTGGAACAACTACCTTCGGCATTCCGTCTCCCAATGAATGGGTCACTGTGGACTGTTTCTCTAGCTTCATCATCCAGCAAACCAAACAAAACAGCCATCCATGTATTCGTCCTCCAAAGGCAATGGCAGCATGCGAAAGGTCGCGATACGTTCCCCAACCCCCTCGTCTTGGCCTCGCATAGCTTTGTACGAAGCTCGTCCGCCTTTGGCCAGGACTGCGTCTGTCCAAGAATGCTCTGAGGGGCCTTAATGATTAGAACAGGGCTTTGGGGGTTATTAGAGCAGAACTGTACAGGGCCATAAGGGAATGCTATGCTGCAGAAGTTCTACTGCTTGGCTCCTGCTATCGATACTGTCTCTCCTGCCCGCCTCAGCCACCTGCTTCTCGAGAGTCTCAGTCTGCTCTTGCTGCTCACGTCGCAGCTTCTCCGCCTGGCTCTCTAAGTTTCCCTGAACCCTAAACCCTAAGGGGTAGTAGGACTTGATTATGCGTCATGTCGACTGCATGAACTAGAATCTGCGTGGTCGATGTTTTCAAGACTTGAAGCTCGTCGCTCGAGCCGCAATGCTTTGTCGCGCCCTGAATCTCGCACACAGAGGCCCGAATCTCAACCCATGACATCCGTAAAATAAGGACAGCTGCGGGATGTTTGCTTCTCAGTTCCCTGAAGACCTACTTGTCTTATCTTGGTAGCCCAGAAACCATACAACAATAAGGGTACCCTTCTTGGCGTTGGGTACTTTATAAGGGAACCTAGAACCAAGAAAAGGATTAAAAGGGCACCACTGGGCTAACAACTTATGAGCCGAGGAGATCTAAGCTAGCTTTGGGGGCCACCCAAGCCACCCACGGAGCCCTGAGATTGAGGTTGGGAGCACGTAAAGTTGAACACCCCAACCCCTAAACCCTAAACCGGAAACCCCAAACCCTAAACCCGAAACCCGAAACCCCAAACCCTAAACCCCAAACCCCAAACCCTAAACCCCAAACCCCAAACCCTAAACCCTAAACCCCAAACCCCGAACCTCCTCCGTGAGACGCTGGATCTGCTCGTCTCTCGCATCCAACTGCAGGCAAATGCCCGTGTGACCATGCAAGGATGCGATGCGGCGTGTGGAGTACCACGGGGTTTAGGGTTTAGGGTTTAGGGTTTAGGGTTTAGGGTTTAGGGTTTAGGGTTTAGGGTTGAGGGTTGAGGGTTTAGGGTTTAGGGTTTGGGGTTTAGGAGGTAGAAATTAGGAATTAGGGTTTAGGTTTTCCAATCAGCTTCGTTGCTAGAGAGCTTTCTACCACAAAAAGAATCAGTTTGCTAGGGTATTGCGGTAGTAAAGCCAGTACCTTGCATAAATGATTATCAGTTATGCGGGCGTGAACGTGTTTATGCGCCCTCTACCAAACAGTACTCTAATCTAAGCGACTGCACGTTATGGTATAGTGTCGCACAAGATGGGCAAGTACATGTTCTCATACTTCCACCAAAATGGTTTGGTGGCCTCCTCGTGCTTGACAGTCTGTGGGCGAGGCGTCTCAGAGTCGGAGTCCAAGCTGGCGTTGCTCCGCACAGCAAGCGAGACTTCTGCCTGCCCAGCATGATACGACACATTTCTATCGCTTGCGATGAATGTGTTCTCACTGTGGAGTCGCTGGCAGGACTTGCCTCTTTCAATTTTCTCTTACACACAACAAGAATATGTACTCAATGCACTGACCCTTGAAAGGTTTCGAAAGGGGCGTTGCTCGCCGTGCTGCTCTCTTCTTCCAGCTGGAATGCGCCGGGATTAGCTGCGCAGGGGGACCTTTAAGAGGAGGTCCCTCGAGTTGCTGTGTCTGGTGGGCTGGGCCCTGCTGAAGGCTCGAAGTGTTTAGAGCTCGGCACTTGCTGCCATACTGTAGAGTGCAGCCAAAACACAACCAACAAAGCACCAAGAAGAGCAAAGGCAGAAAGAAAGCCAAGAATGGACTTGGAAAGCAATGAGCATGCCAAAGCTAGCACAATTCGAAACGCAACAGTTCCATACTTGTACCTAGCAGCAACCACAGAAGCACTGACGTTAGAAAACCCATGATCGTCCGTGGTCAGAGCAGAATCTTCTCACAGACGTCACTGAACCCTATCTTCGACCCAGCAGGAACAAGATTGCACAGTAAAAACGCACCGCATGTCAAGGCCCGAGGCCCGAAGCTTCGATTTCTTGGGCTCTGCCAAGCGACCGGCGCTGTCTCCACGGATTTCGTCGTCTTGTCCTGCAGCAGGGAAACCCTAAACCCTAAACCCGAAACCCTAAACCCGAAAACAATAATGTGGGCTCCGAAAGTCACCAAAACAGGTGCGGGAGACCTCGAGTGAGCAATCAGGGTAGCTGTCTTGTGTAGGCTAGGCAGCGTGACGCTTGACCAGACCAACGGGACAGCCCGAAACTCGCATGATTGTCCAGGCTGGAAGTGCCATGCTTGACAAGCACCAAAGTGGCGCGCTTGAGAGATGGACACAGGCAAATGATGGCACTTCTCACTTGCTTGGAACATTGTCTGCCTCTTGTAAGTTTGGCCTTAAGGTTTCCGATGATTTCAGGGGTTGCCCCCAACTGTTGCGCTCGGCTTGCCACGCTCTCTCTGGCTTCGACTCACTTGAAGCTCGTGGTGCGCAACACCTGCTGCAATCGGGACCTGTCCCCGCAGTGAAGCAGAACCCTTCGGCATCTGACCCTGGACCCTAAACCCCAAGCCCTCAAAACCTAAACCCTAGAACCTAAAACCTAAACCCTAAACCCTAAACCCTAAACCCTAAACCCTAAACCCTAAACCCCAGCATGAGCAAGCATACTTCCTCGAAACGGCAGGCTAAAGCCTGACTTCTTGAAACAAACACTGGGAAGAACAGGCGCAGTAAGATCACCGACCGTCCCCTCGTGCACGGTCTTGTCCGCCATGCATTGTGAAACTCTACTATGGCATACAACTTCAAGAAAGCACCACTGTAACACACCATACGGGTACACCAAATACTATAGTGCAATATTAAACCCTAAACCCTAAGCCCTAAACTCTAAACCCTGAACCCTAAACCCCAAGCCCGAAACCCCAAGCCCGAAACCCGAAACCCTAAACCCTGAACCCTAAACCCTAAACCCTAAACCCTAAACCCTAAGTCTGTTGTCCGGGGGCGCCCAGAGCAGTCCTCCGTGACCCCGGCAGCTTCCCACTCGGAGAGCAGCGTCTCCCGAAGCG